CTTTGTCTGCCTGCATTCCTGGCCTCCAAGGAGCTGCTCCAAGGAGTCCCTGGGGAGGCTTTGTCAGTGCCTGCCCTCAGTGGGGCCCAGCAATGCTTCAAGGGACTTGGAGTTTGGCTTCTGACTTCTTCAGCAGCTTCTTCAATCTTCTCTCAGTACCTCAGGATCATGGGCTGGGCTGCAAACACACCGTGGGGCTCATTAAAATCCAGAAATCCCTCATGATCTCTTTGTCTTCCTTTAATTGGCTTCAAGGCAATTTCAAAACAAGTCTTCAAAGTTTGTACTTTTTTTGTTTTAATTCAAGGATAGACATTTTTTAGTTCAGAGGAGAGGTGATAGAGGTGTTCTCCAAGTGATCTTGATGTTGAGTGTCTCCTCAGGAAATCTAGACTGACCCTGTATGATCAACCTTGCCCCTCACCCCCCAACCTCACCAGTTCTGACATGGCCCATCTTGGACTGACAGCTGATGTAGCTCCAAACACACTGTGGGACCCATTAAAACACTGAAAAACAAGTTATTTCCCTTCCTTTAATTGTCTTCAAGTCTTCAAGACTTCTACAGCTAATTGGAGTTGTTTTGTAGTTTAGCTAAGGAGGAAGATTTTAAAGTGGAAGTCACGAAAAATATATTTTTTTTTATCAAAGAGGATGATTTACACAGAGCCTTGGGATGCAAGAGGGTCAGGGTGCGAAGGATTTGGATCCAAAGACAAGGGGGCAAAAGAGATTAGTAGCACTTAATCATTGATCAATTGAACAATTATCAAGTGGTTTGATAGTATTTGCTACAATTTTAACAGTGACTGAATTGTAGATTCACAACAACATTAATACCACAGTCAATTCACACCCACACGCAGGCAGAGATGTGTGCACACATCAGTAGCTGGGTAAGAATAAATGATTCACTTTATATAAATATTCTCATTTTGACAATCATTAAAACCTGTGGGACAAAAGTGGTTCAAATCCCACTTCTGTAATTCCTTACATTTAATTTGTTGATATAATCTGAGGCAAAGATTGGATCCCTTATTCCTTGAGGCTCCGCAGTGCGACCATGGCTCCTTGATTCCATGAGGTTGCACTGTTTCCCAGCATTCTTGGGCTCCATAAGGCCCTGCAGTGTGACAATGGCCCACTGATTCCATCATTTTCCCCAGTGTCACAATGGTCCCTTTGACTCCAGAAGGCCTTGCAGAATCAGAATGGCCCCTGGATTCTGTGTGGTTCCATAAGGTCATAATGGACCCTTGATTCCATGAGATTTCACAATGTCCCATTGGTTCCCTTTGGTTCCCAAAGGTTCTGTGATGTCACACTGGCCCCTTGATTCCCTGATGTTCCACAGAGTCCCGGAGTCCTTTTGATTCCATGAGGTTCCGCAGTGTCCCATGTTCCCTTTGGTTCCAGGAGGCCCCAGTGTATTCCAATGGCCCCTGGATTCCATGAGATTCCACAGTGTCCTGAGGTTCTCTTGTCTCCCGGACTTTTGGCAGTGTCCGGGGTCCCTTTGTTCCCAGGAGGTTCCTTTGTTTCCATCAGGCCCTGCCACATCCCAGACTCCCTTTGGTTCCATGAGATGCTGCAGGGTCACAATGTCCCCTTTATTATTATGGGTTTCTCCATGTCCCAGGGTTCCTTTGGTTCCATGGGGCTCCACAGTGCCAAAACTCCCTGGTTCTTATCCTTCCAAAATTTGTGGGCCCATTGTATCCCTGCCTGGGATGGAGCCCCATTGTGTTTCTGCAGGAATGGATCCATGGCCATCCTGCCACTGCACCAATTGAATGCTGCACAAACGTCACTGCAGGCCCGACCCTGGATGCAGGAACAGTCTGGGAACTCCAGGCCTGCTGACATTCAGCAGAGCCAGTCGGGGTCCCAAAGAGCACAATGGATTGACTGCAACCCCTGCAGTTCTCTGGCATTGCTGGGGACAAATGCATGAACTGCCAGGAGCTCTGCAGAGCCCTGACAGTGCCACTGCAATCCCAAGCTGCATTGCCCGGGGCAACACTCAGCACAGCCAAGGCCACAACCCTTCCTGAAAGGTGTCCCTTCTGGGCAGGGCCAGGGGGACAAACCCCTCCATCTGTCCATGCACATGTTGTGTCCAATTCTCATCCCCCACTTAGGGACAAAGTCAGGCTACATTGTGTGTTTAGCTTTGCATTTTCATCACTCTTATGTGCTTCCAACACACACACACACACCCCAGTCTGGGCAGTCTGACCCCCCAAAGAACACAAGACCTGACTATTTGTGGCTCCTGCTGCAGGGGCTGGAACTTGGGCCCCAATCTGTGCCAGGAGCAGAGAAGTCCCTCCCCACGGAAACTTCTTGGCAATGGAGTTCTTAAGAAAACGGGACAGGCTGTGGGGGTCACTTGCAGGGCACAGCCAGGGATGTGTCTTGACCAGCCTCCTGTTTACCATGACCAGTTTTTTCAGCCTCTTTTCTCTCTGTTTTCTCATGCTTGTTCCTCCAGAAACCACTGGGAGCCTTCCCTTGCTTTGGTTCTTTCCTAGACATCCCAGGACAAGTCTTGCCCAGACCCCAAATCCCCTTTCTGGCTGCCCATCGTGAGTCTCAGAGCCCGAGGCTGAATCCCCCATCCTCAGCTGCAAGGTCACCCTGAGAGGTTCTGCCACTGACCCACTTGCTTTAAGTTTCATACAGATATCTTGGAACTTTCTTGGAATTAATCCTTTACCTTTTGGGCTTAGAAGGGTTTCTCCAAAAACATGGCAATTCATGTCCTCAACATGGAAATTCTTTGAAGAAAGGGTTTGGGACTTCAGAGTCAAAAGAATCACAGAATGATTTGGCTTGGAAGGGAGCTAAAAGGTCATCTAAGTCCCTGGACAGGGACAGTGACATCTTTTACTAATTCAGGTTACTCACAGTCCCTGTCATTGGACAAATGCAGGGATGGGACATCCACTTCTCTGGAAACCTGTTCCAGTTCTTGCCACCCTTATTATTGCCTTTAAATAATATTTTCCATTAAATATTTCCTCCTATTATCCAATATAAAACTCTCATTATTTAGTTCAAAACCACTGCCCCATGTTCTGCCACTACAGGCCTTGGTAAAAAGTATCTCTGGGATTTACTTAGACTATGAGCACAACATTTTCATCTGCAAAAACATTAGTGAGTGCCCAGAGATCTCCCAAGATGGGCTTTAAAGGTCTCAAGCACATGAGCACTATAGAGGGGCTGAGGAGCTGTGGCCACAATGGTGTGGAGACTGAGGATATTACAGGACAGCCCTCAGACGGATTGAAGGGAGGATTTAGAGGTGGTGGATCCTTTTGTCAGAGCAGAAAAGAGCATGAGAAAGAAAGAATTAATGCCAAGTGCAGCTGGGGAGGTCCCGAGTGGACATGAGGAAAAAGGAATTTCACTCCATGGAAAAGAAATTGTCGCTGTGCTGCAACATGTCAACCAGGAGGAGTCTGGATGAGG